GGATTCCTGACCCAACAACATACAAAGGACTTTTAAGTCTCCACGAAGTAGCCAACTATGTTCTTTGTATTTGACCTTATTAAGAAGAAGTTCGACATTTTCGTACGTTTCCTTCAAGTTAACCGAATGAGCAATAGGAACAGATGTATATATGCTACCATTGTGAAGGAGAACACCTTTAAGACTTCTTTTGGAGGAATCAATGAACAATCGCCAATCACTTGGTTCATAGACTGCAGCTCCTAGCATTGGTATTAATTCAGCAATATTGTTGCAATAAATCAGTGAACCTTCCTACGAAAGGTATGGTATAAACCATTTCTCATGATTTCTGTACCAGTAAAATGATGTCCCTGGAGAAAGTAAGTTATTAGCCCAAAGTCTGGACCCAAAAATCTCTGAAGAATCCTTTGGAAGGCCAAAATCTCTCACCAAATAATTAAGTTCACCTTGTGTGAAAAGTTGTGGTTCACCAGACGTTTCAACTTGAAAATAATCCCTATCATCATTTCTATTGACATTAGATTCAGAATGAAATGAAACTGTATCAAGTGTCTCCAGTGGAGTAGGTACAGGTACATCAGGTCCATGAGCAACAGGTCTTACAGAAGACTGAAGGTTCGGATAAGAAATTTCATTTTAAATGCGAGTTTTGTAGCCTTGCACGTTACATGAGCAAAAATAGCAGTCATCTCAGTGGTTTCTAGGATCGCGCCATACCAATGGAATTCCAAAAGGCAAATACTTTTCTTACCTTTAATCCATTGTCACAACTCTTCGACACAAACAATGCAAACTTTGCGCGGAGCCCATGATTTGTCTTGGTCCCCAAGTTTTATATCAAAATGCCCATAATACGCCTTTTTCGACGAATTCTGTAATGTTTTGCCTTTGTTTCGTGGTAAATTTGTTGTAAATTTTTCTCCATCACGTACAGAACTGTCATATGTACTTTTACATAAGTGAATCATTTTGTTATGCTTAAAATGTTGACAACCACTGACTATAGATTTATCTAGATCAATTGCAACGTGAGATCTTATCGATTGTTCTAGAACCTACGAGAAACACACCGCTACTATATAAACGGTTAAAAGGCTGTATGACGTGTCATTTCTGGATAGTATTTGTTTGTACGTACACTTTGAGATTATTTTTTTATTTTCAATATTATTTATTCCTCGCTATGGCAACAAGAGGTTGTGTAAATGACCCAAACATATTCTGTTATATCTTTGATATCATTTTCGGATTCAGCGTACAGGAATTACTGTAGAACATGTAAACATTTCAAGACAATAAAACCATCGTGGGCCTGTGTTATTAAAATTATAACCGAACAAAGAATAATATTCGATGATTTATTACTTATGTATGTGTTTGTTGATGTAGAGAGAGCTACTTTTCCAAAATGATGGGAATAATTTCAACAAATTTAATGGGAAAATGTTTTTGATAATATTCAGAGAAAAACGAGAGTCTTGGCTTAATTCAGTCACATGGTAGGTTTAGTATAGGCAGGCTCTGTTTCGAGCATGTTAACTAGCAAATACCAAATCATGCAATATTAGAGTGTGTGATAAAGTTTTTGAGAAGCTTTTCTAATTCATCTTGCATCTGTTCCGTATTTCATACCGTCACATTAGGCTCGATTCTTCGAATAAGTGTGTGTATTTGTATGTGTGTATATATATACATATGTATCTATATATATCACTCTTTCATTTAACAGATCAGATGATATGTTTGTTGCCATGCCATGTTTTAAAAAAGCGTATATTATCAGAAAAAAGTATCTTTAGTCTTTAAATTCAACTTATATTACTAAAATAACTTTATATTGCTACAAGAAACTACTTGCAGGCAATTTTTGAATAATAATGATAATTATATCATTTTTACCTTGAATGGTGTAAAATAAAATATGTACGAGTAAAAACAACGAGTCAGAAACTCACATTTATAGTCCTTTAGTATTAAGACAGTCAATAACGCACTGAAAACTCTTACTGTAAAACTTTCAGCAACACACAACCTTTAGCAGCGAGACAGTCAGAAACCCATATTTATAGCCCTTAGCAGTTAGACAATCAGCAACATACTTAGAACCCTCAACAATAAGACAGTCAGCAACATATTTGCAACCTTTAACAATAAGACAGTCAACAATACACTTACAACACTTAACAATAAGACAGTCAGCAACAAACAAAACTTAGAAGTAAGAGCAACACACAACTGTTAGCAATTAGATATTCCGCAATACACAACCAGTAGCAGTCACACAACCAGAAACACACAACACTTAGCACTAAGATAAGCTACAACACATAAGTAACACCTAGCAACAAGAGTTAGCGACATACTTATAACCCTTAGCAGTAAGACATTCAGCGTCACGCAACTTTAAGCAATAAGACATCAACAGCTCATTCAAAACCGTTAGCAGTGAGACAGTCAACAACACACTTATAACCCTTCGTAATAAATCAGCATCACACAACCCTTAGAAATCACACATTCGGCAACATACAATCCTTAGCAGTTGGATAACAAGCAATTCTTACTAGCAGTAAGATAGTCGACAACAATTACAACCCTTAGCTGTAAAACACTCAGAATCACTCTTATCAGCATCACTTATATCCATTTACAGTAAGAAAATCACCAATATACTTTTATCTTCAGAAAAGGCTACGACGTCAGTGTTCTTAATTGATAAATAGTTCGGGTGTTTCTGGTGACAGCTTGACCCAGATATAGGCTCATTTATTACTGTAATCTGCTGGGTCAACTCTGTAATTCATGATGAAGAAGAAGACCCCAACTACGACTAGCTAGTAGCCTTCGTAGAAGTATAACTTATTAAGTCACGCCGTGATAAACCTTCAAAGCAAACGAAATATAAGTATTTTTAATCCCCACCTGGAAATATTGTTTCATTATTTGTAGCGGACTTTTCACTTGCTTTTGATTTGCATCGCAATTTGTCGTGATATATATATGCAGTTTTATTTCCCCCAACAAACTAATACGTTTTGTCTTCAGTATCAAAAATCATAGTCTCTTCGGTATTTAACATTAACAAAAACTCATTTCAGAAATATTATCGAAAATACTATGAAAATAATTTTTCATGTGATTATTATTCATTTTTATACATCTGAATATCATTGTGCAAGATTAGCTTAGTATATTATTTACGAGTAACCTAAATCTCCTAAGCTGGCCGATCCTCGTGAAATATTATTTGTATAATGGCTGGAAACATTGTTCGTATCTAGGGTATACGGCTGTGATCCATTGTAATATAATGGTAAGTTTTAGTTTTCTTGTGTATTGATTTATAACATTACATACTTCTTGACAGTTTGCCTTGTGGAATTGGCCTAATTAACTTGTAAGTTACTCTTCTTAGTTCTGATATATGTAATTATCAATAGGCCTAATATTCGTGATAAAAATCACGTAACTTAAGTTGTTAACGTGATTTTTTTACACAAACTAGGCTTATTGGTTTCTAAATATTCGCCAGCTTTCGGCGTTTAAATCGTAACTTATATATTTATATATAATAAGGTTTCTTTTGGCTTGTTTGTTTGTTTTAGATCAAAGCCACATTGGGCTATCTGCTGTGTCCACCGCGGGGAATCGAATCCTCATTTTAGCGTTGGTAGTCCATAAAGCGATAAACTTATCACTGGTTCACCATGAGAGCTTACTTTTAATGACAAGTTATCAGTAATTAGAAAAGTAATAACATATACACGAAAAACGGCAAAATCATAACCTACACATACTTACCAAATGTTTAAATAAAAAAGATGTAAGTTAATAACAACGAAATAAATTATGACATGTTTAAAAAAATCATAACAAGCCAAGAGAAATATATGTATTAGAAAGGCATTATTGATGTTGTTTGTTTTGTTATAATTTAAGCACAAAGATGGGCTATCTGAGCTGTGCTCACTACAGGTATTAAAGCCCGCGATCTGTCCACCGGGGGAATTAAACCCCAAATTTTAGGGTTGTAAATCCGTAAACTTAGGAATGAATGTAAAGACCTAACGAGTAGAATTAAAATTCCTAGGGTGCTCATATCATTTGAAAGGTTTGTGATTTAACTATAATTCTACCATATACTCCATAGAAAGCGAATTCTCTCTTTTTTTTTGTATCAGTAATAAAAATAGGATAACAGAAAAATGGAGATATAATAGGTATGATAATCAAGTAGGTATTACAAAATATCCACATGCCATTTGCGAGTACCTTTTAGCTTGGTGTTTAGGGTGCTCGGACTGGAAATTCAAGGGTGATACCGCGTTGATGCAAAAAACACGTTTCGCAATTTTGAGCCAATGATGCGCTATAAGAGTGATGGTCAAATCCAATTATTCGTTCAGAAAAAGGTAGCCTAAGAGTTGGCGATAGTTGCTATTGGCTAGCTGTTCTGCCTCTAATTAACCAATTTGAAATTAGGAATAGCTGTGTGCAGTTAACCATTGCGTAGTTTTGCTTGAAAATTCACAAACTGCTCGTGTGATATGTATGATGTAGTGTCTAGTTTTGCCATCTAGTGGTTAAGACCGCAATTATAGGTTTCTTATCACTAAAAAACCAAAAATAATCTAAACATCTCTTTATATATATTTATATATATATATATATATATAGAGAGAGTAAATCAACTTTTGTTCATATAGAATGTAACATTTTGTCCACGTATTTCAAATAAATCACCATTTTTATACTAACATTTCAACTAGAAAAGGTATTACTACTGGTGATTATAAGTGCCAAATGTATATATATATGCTTTTGGCAAAATTACAGTATTCAATTAATACGCTTTGTGTATGCCTTAAAACTGGTTAGATTACTTGTAAGAGATTTACAAAATAAAGATTAGGCAACAAGCTTGAGTTAAATTCAATGTTTAAAACGCTAGTAATGAAAAGTCCATCAGGGAAATTTTATAAGGCTAATTTATTTTTGAAGTATACCTACATACTCTTTGAATTACTTCTTAAGAGAACTTAAACTTTTATTGTAGGTTAAACGAAATTATACTTCTTTTAAGCAAGAAAGGCAAAATAATTTATTTAACTTACAATAACCTTCGAGTATGGAGCATCTTAAATGTATTTTTAAATAATTTTTTCACTTTACTAACAAAATAATTTTGTAACTACACTACCACACATATATGTTATAATACGATTTTTGAGGATGGTGCCCACACATTAATAGTTCTCTTTTAAACAACAAGTTTAAAAATATTAAAATTTATATTATTCACCATCTTAGATAAATGCAACGATTTATTCATTCTTTAAGACAATAAAAAATCTCATTCCTTTATTTCTAAAACACTAGCAAAATAATTTTTCGTTCAATGATAATCCCGAATGAAAAAGATGTCTTTCACCTGTCCAAGAGTAGTGCATAGTATTGTTTGTTTGTTTCTAATTAAGCACAAAGCTACACAATGGGCTATCTGTGCTCTGCCCACCACGGGTATCGAAACCCGGTTTCTAGCATTGTAAGTCCGCAGACGTACCGCTGTGCCACTGGGAGGCAGTGCATAGAAAAAAAAAAAACTGTGTAACACATTCTAATTAAGTTGGTGAGAGTTAAAAATAGAAAATTAATTTGTAAAAATTTTATACCAAAATATAATGCACACAATTCAAAATAAGAGAAATCTTCAGTAATTAAAGGTATATATAAACGTAACATGACATATAGCTACATAATAATTATTCTAATATTACCTGGACTCAAAACACTGACAAAGAAAAAACTACAATTGTTTAATATAAATATAGATTAAGCTTAAATAATATTTTATACAAGCTTTGGTAGTCTTACAACTGTCAGTAAACAGAAGACATGTAATTTACATGAAATAACTTTATTTTTTGGCCAGTTTTTCAAAAAACAAATCTCTCTTGGGTTCAATTATTCACACACACAAAAAAAACAACTGAAATAATGAATATGTTTTTCACTTGAAAGAAATATTCACGTCATAGAGGAGGATGTTAAAACAAAGTTTTTTGTCCTAAATGACTTTATAAAATTTAGGACTTAACTATAAACTCTTTAATCACAGTCAGTTAAATGAAGTAGATTAAAATCTTGATAGTAAAATTGTTTTATCACACTGTAGATTAAGAGTTCTTATGTATATTTGTACTAAAATAGCATAAGTATTATTCTTTATTCACACTATTTCTCTCTCACCTAGATTTGAATATATTTACTTTACATCATTTTAAATTCTTTTTTCAATATCTGTTTACAGATTGCTAATGATACTTAAATACTTTATCCATATTATAACTGTAAATATAAACACACAAATAACTAATTTTATAATTAAAATACTTAGCAATTTCCAATGTTATTTGTTTAACTTAGTATAAAAGCTCTAAATGCAAGAGAAAAGAAAGATGTAAATAATTAATTCTTGCATACATTGCTGACATTTAAAATTGCAATTAAAACTACAAGAAACGAAACCTTAAGCAAGCTGACGCATTTATTAAAAGAGATCAGAAGGTGCTGAGCCAAAAAACAATTTCTCTTAAAACTTGAAAATGTGAGTGTAACAACCAGTACTTACTCCAAAAAAGTCCAAGTGAATGGTATAATCATATACTAAGAGAGAAAATAGTTTGTTTAATTTACTTACAATTAAACAAACCAAATATTTTTATGGTGAATAAACAAAAATCTACAACACCAAGTTAATTATCAGTTATCAGACTGTGGGCATCCCCTGCATGACTAATAGTAAGGTCCATCTCACATTGAATACTTGAACAAGTAAATTATAATTAACATTAATTTTGAGTAAGATTTGACTCCTTGGTGCACATATATTATTATTTCACAAAAAATTAATTCAAATACATTAATAACAAATAAAACAAGTTTCAAGTCCTAAAAACAATAGTAAACTACATACTACCAAAACCATAACAGATATTACACCTTTAAAATATTCACAGTTATATTAATGGATACGAAAGTAAACAGTTACTTAAATAAACTAGACAATCCACTGGCTGTTCACAAATAAAATAAATCACTCAGCATTTTCACTGTAAAACAAGAGGAAATTGGTCACCGTTTCGTTTTCCAAGTCACCATTAATTAAAATACTGACACCCTTGTATTTGAACAAAAAAATAATAATGTACTACAACATGTTTCCTATCACAGTAAAAATTGTGTAACATCATTTGCTCAAGTACAAAGTCTAGACACTTCATTCATCTTCAAATTCTTGTTCTCTGTTTTAAACATTATTGCTTCACTTTCTTGTGTACATGTAAGAAAATATCAAATAGTCATACATTTTTCATTTGAACGCAGAAATACTTTTAAAATGACTCAGTAGTTGAATTTAATGAATCCGCTTGTTTTATTTAGTTCCAGCAGCTAATATCTAATCCAGGATACACTGCTGTTAGGAAATGCAAGATGTAAGTAATGACAATAAATGAACTAGGTTATAAGTTAAAAAAATCTTACATTGGGCACCTCAGTCACATTGCTTTCTATACCGTGCACATCTTTGTGAAAGATCTGTATGAAGATAATCAGAAAAAGTTAATAAAGACCCTGAAAGTAAAGTTGCTTTCCTTGTACATTTTTTAATGCAAATGCATAGCTTGTTGTCCAGATCATGTTGAGCTTGGGAATAAACTAGTAGTAAGCTTGTTCTTTTTGCCAAGTTGGATGAATATACATATATTGCACACTCCTTATTCAGTTCTAGAGAGATGGCCATAGCCAATAAGTGACTTCTCATTTAGAACCTCATAGCTGTCCTCTTCATGTTCTTGGTTCTGTGAAAAATTATACAAATAATGATATTTTATAGAAATTCCAAGTACTTAAACAAATAAAAATATAAAACAAACTCCAATAAATTTCAATCCACTTTCTAACGAGAATCTTCCATCTTTTATATGTGAGGTATATAACTGAGAGAGGCAGTCAAAAGCTTTTAAAAAAACATTCTAAAAACATTGACATTTTGTTCCAAAATTCTCGTGGCTTTAGTTAGTATGTGCCCAAAATGAATGAGATAACACATGGATTTCAGTCAAGAAAAAAGGTTTTCTGGCTTTTCTGTACTCATTTAAAAGTTTTTATCTGGATAATAACTGTCACTCCTAAAAAAACAGTTCTGTAAGAGCTCCTCTTTACCATAACAACAGTACTTACAACTTCAGCAATGAAAAAGTTTTTTTTTAAATACTGTAGTGCTGGCTGGAGTTGCATGTTACTTATTACAATACACAGGAAAATAACCATATATTGGTATAGAGAATCTTTTTATTTGTTACTGACCAATAAATTGTGTTGCTGATGAAGCTGCAAGGTGAAATATTGGAATGTAACATATAAATCAATTGTGTTTAGTAATATCAGGCTTTTTTATGTCTGTTAACCAATGTAAAAAGTACAAATAACTTTACTTTAAGTATGTAGTTTACTCTAATCACAAGTTATTATTTTTATACATAAATATTATTCATACTTTTGTTCTAACCAGTGAATATTTAGAACAATATGACCAATACCTTATATTGCTTCTTTCAATTCTGAATAACTTAGTACTTGCATATTAAAAAAAATTTGATTTTGAACAAATGGTTTGTTTGTTTGTTTTTGAATTTCGCACAAAGCTACATGAGGGCTATCTGTGCTAGCCATCCCTAATTTAGCAGTGTAAGACTAGAGGGAAGGCAGCTAGTCATCACCACCCACCACCAACTCTTGGGCTACTCTTTTACCAACGAATAGTGGGATTGACTGTCACATTATAATGCCCCCATGGCTGAAGGGGTGAGCATGTTTAGTGTAACGGGGATTCGACCCCTTGACCCGCAGATTGCGAGTTGAGCACCCTAACTACCTTGAACAAATGGAAGAAAATAATATAAATAAATATTGAGGGTAACAGTAATATACAGTATGTCAATAATATTTTTTTTAAATACACTTTAAGAATAATGTAAATTGTCACACTATAAAAAAAAAGCTTCATATTTTTTTCCAAATAACTAACATACCTTAATTTATTTTATGCTAAAAAACTTTAAAATTTAGTTAATATTTTTCGTTTCTTTCTGTTGACACTTATGCCTTGGGTTTCAAGCATAGTTATCAAGACATACTAGTAACTTTATTTAGGATTATTGAACTGGCAGTTTTTTCTAAATGTTTTTTAAGCACAAAATTCAAGCCTAATTTTATTTTTGCTATAGTTATTCGAATTTCATTATTTAGATTAAACTTATAAAATGAAAAGGTGTATTATAAAATTGTGAATTTTTTAGGTAATTATCACCTGTTTTTAAGATCTCTAGTATCCAACTTTCATAAATATCAACATAAAAAAAACATTCATTTTCAACTGAAGTATTCAGGGAAATAAAACAAGAACAAAAAAGTTACATTTGTTCAGTTGCTATTCAGAACATACATATATGTATTTAGGTGATTCAGTTGTTGTTCAAGCTTAAAGTGAGATATAGTAAAACTTATTATCACCAATTATTTCTTTTTACATTCTTTAAAACTTTTATATTCATATGATTGAAAAGATTTTCTCCAGCATTCATTAGAAACATGAAAAAAGTCTTCACCTATCTTTTGCATGTTTTTAACCACTGGCTGTTATCAGCATCAATAAATAATTCATAGGGAACATTAAAATAAATCAATTAATCTGAGAAGGATCAAAGTTTAAAGTTCCTACCAGCAGGAATGTTAATGATTCCAAAGATGGTTGTCTACCAGCTTCTGCAAATTAGCTGCAACTGAGAAAAGTATCACATATTTTAAATAGCTTTCAACATTAAACATGTGTATAATAAGCTCTTTATATTTAAAACAAAACATGAAATCATGTTTCAATGCTTCTTCTCCCACAACTAAGAACTAAAGTTAACAAAACAATAAAAACAACAACTAATCTTGAGAGAAACTGGACTGAGAACTTAATGGATTTGTTCAAAGGCAGAAAGATGATTTTTAAAGAAATCTTTACTGCTTATTTTCAAATGTAGTATAAGCTATTTTAAAGTAAAGAAATATGTACATTTCGTTAAATATAATGACCAATCCCTATTAATTTTCCAAAAAAAGACATTTGTTTAAAATTACCAAGTTTATTATATAAGTTTTAAATTATGTGATCTTCTCTCTAATAATTAGATGTGGCATAGTTGTGCATCCTTGGTTTGTTCAAAAATTTGATACTGAAATTAAAGTCCAGCAACCTTCATTTGCTAATATCCAGATTTCCATAATCATGAACTTAAAACATATTTCCTCTTGATTATTGTTATTTAAAGTCCATAGTAAAACTATGGTAAGCAAAAACATCTTAAAACAAAGAAACCTCTAAGAATTAAAAAACAAATAAATGAAAGACTTGTATTTTAGAATAAGTTTAGGTTACATGAATAACTCTCATTCTCTTTCTCTCTCTCACTCTCTCTCTCTCTATATATATATATATCTATAGAGAGAGAGATTTGTGTGTGTGTGTATAGAGGTTGAGGTAAAGTGGCTATACAGTTGTTTCATTTAGAATATATCTTAATTGTTTTTTGTAATATTTTGATTGGTACAAACCATATATAATACCAACTGTATCAGCCATGTATTACAAACTAAACCTTTTCCTCACTCTGTATATATGTATATTAATGACAAAAATAAAGTATCTTTTTATTTTATTTCAAAATTGCTAACAATTGTTTTTATTACAAAAGAAATATTTGAAGGAATTATCCTCCCTTAGGTGTACATACTTAGTTGTATCTAGATGAAATTAAATCTTAGTCTGTAGACCACAGATGAATAGATATCAAAATCAATTACATTTCAGCTGATGAAATCCAGAAATAGTTATTTCCATAACTCAATTAACTTTCAGTTTCTAAATCAAAAAAGGATCATTGAATAAAATCAAGGAAACCTGAGCTAGAGGATTCCAGAAAACGTCATTGTCCAAAATGAGTTAAAACTCAGCTGGAGGAATTCAAAAGGTGCAATTTCCCAAACTCAATTAAATCTATGGAATGATAAATGCCAAAAATATATTATTTCTCTTAATTAAAAAAAAGAGAGTAATAACCCAAAATTATTCAAAGTTTTAGCCTCTGAACCTAGGAAAGAGTGATTATTTAAGATCAAATAAATCTAAGACCCACACATTTGTGAAAAGGATTTTTTTCCAAAATAATTTTAATCTCTAGATTTTGGAACACACAGCTGCTTAAACTCAACTAACCCTGAGCATCAGGAATTAAGAAAGAAATATTAGTAGCTCAAATTCTACTAAACATCGGCCTCTATCCTTAGTGATGAGAGGTTGCTTAAAATTAATAGTCTCAGCCAACAGAGGTGGGAGGAAGAATGGTTAGCTAAAACTAATGATCACAAAAAATCCAAAAAGTATTGTTGTCCAAGTCCATCAGGTCTCATGCTGCTCTTGCTAAGGATTTTTTGATTCAAATGTTTTTGTATAATTTTTCTTCAAGTATTTTATCAAATGTAGTCCAAGTTTAATTGTTTTTAAATTCAAAGATTGTTACTGACTCATATAGTTTTTGGTTATGGAAGTGAACCCCTTTTTCTGATTTGAGAGTGTAGGAAATAATAACTCTTTCTGTACTTGTCCTGTGTAGGCACGTTATTGTGAATAAAGATTTGTTTACATGTTCACTTGTGTTCATATTTTTCCTTTGCTGTCTGTGATCAGTATATTCTTCATTTAACAGTTCTGAATCTGTGTTCTTGTGTACACTTTTAACTATCTGATGGATATCAGTGTACCTGAATAAACACTGGAACAGGAATGTTAACCCACCATCATCATTGTATTCCATGGGGTTGTATTTTATATTATATTTATTTGCAATTTATACAGAAGAATATTCACTTGGTAATTATACAATTGAGGAGCAAAAAAAAAAGAGTTTGTCTGAACAATCCACTTTTGTCTTTGCAAGGATTTACACACACTATGTGGAATGAATTCTGAATTTCCATATGTAAAATTTCAACAGGTATAGCTACGTCAATGAAAAATGTAAACATTTAAAATAGCTAATTGAATAATATCTCCAATACTTGTTGTGTGTATAACATTTTTAAGATGCAAATTTCATAGAGAAAAAGGGGTACCTACATGACTTAAGAATATATGCATGTTAAACCTACTGTTGTACTATTATTAGTGCATCATATGGTTTCCAAGTGGTATTCTTAGTGACAATTCATTTGATATTCTGAAATTTGGTTGTTATAAAGAAATATGATAAATAATAAACTAAATACAAAAAACCAATTATGCTTGAGGCAGATGTCACTAAATATCATGTGCCCTAATCCTAGGTAGAACATGGACTGAGCATAGCTTAATCGCTAGCAGAATTCTTAGTCCATGTAAAATGTGAAATACTGTTGAGAACATCCATAGTCATGAAGATGATGAGAATGAATTATCAGCATAATTCACAACTGCCTTAAGATGTGAAAAATTTTTGAACGCATCCATAGTAAGATGCAAGATGGGGTGAATTAGCAACAGATTTCACAGTTCACATAAAATGTGAAACATTGTTGAGAAAATCCAAAGCAATGGGTAAGATGATGAAAAATTACCAGCAGGATCCATAGCTTATTCAAAATATGAAGCACTGTTGAGCACATTCATAATAATGGGTAAGATGACGAGGAATTACCATCACAGTTCATAGTTCAGATCAAATGCTAAGTACTGGTGAGCATCATACTACTGTACAAGATAGAGGGAAAGGTGTAACTAAATTTGAGGTCAGTTTTTTAAACACCTTTGGATTCAGATTGTGCCAAGTATTAATGTATGGTGAACTTTTTATTGTAGTTCCTAAGAGGTAAGTTATGTACATAGATTTTGACAGAGAATTTGATAAATATTATTCTAATCCACTGAAACAAAATTCAAGGAAACACATTGGCTATAAATGTGAGACATATTTATACATGTTTGATGATTGAAGAATGAATAAAAGGAAACTTACCTACTTCAACATCTTTTCTTTCCACTAATCCAGCCTGTACAAGTTCTGATGCTATTCCATCTACAAAATCTGATAAAAAACATAATACATGAACACGGTTTACACCCATGATAAGTTCTAAGGCATTTGAGGCATTTTTATAGAAATTACAAATGCTTTTGTGATGAGAAATATAAATTTTCATAAATATTCATACATAATGCACATGCATGATAAGCAGAGAACAGATGTACACATTAACGTATAACCATTGGAACTTCTACAAGGACAGTTATCCAAATAAGAAAATAGAAAGAAAAATTAAAACATAAGTCGATCAAGATGCAATCCAATTTGAGACATATGAAATTAAAACCAGCAGTCTGAAGACAAACAGGTGCAATCATAGCAGAGAGAGAATAGCTACCAAATGTTTATGTTATCTTCATTAACTCAAGAAGCTAAGCCACATAAAAAAATGGATGGCAAAACTTTGATCAGAAGGAAACTTCCGGATAGATACATGTAAGTAGGCAACCATCTAACAGCTCTTAACCAATGCCTATTATCTTAGTTTTTGCTTTTGTTCAATGATTCAGCTGAATTAAACCAGTTAGACAAAGGGTCTACTTGCAAACTAAGCCTGTAGTGCTAGTTGAAAGAACACATAAAAATGAGTATTTAATCTCGTGTTTTTGGCTCAAAAGTCAGTTCTCCGGTGAAGAAACCAGTGACTATTAGACTTGTTGTAATCCTGATTCCTGACAATTGCCGTATTACAAAACTTGATGAATCTCCACCACACATACTGTTTGTAACTATAAATTGATACTCTATCAATCTCTAGTCTAACATTGTAGTTAGGAAATGATGTATGATATGTACAAAAAATAAGATGATGTTGAAATAGAACTCACTTGTAGACTTAGTAAGATTTATCAAAGCAATAGCTTTGTTAAAGGATATTTTAAAAGAAGTATTAACCAGATTACAGAAGTTAAACTATGTCTGAATGTCTGTTGCATAATAAGCTAATTGATAATTTGTTCAATGTAGTTTCAGATTTGATGAATGTTATTGAAAATCTAATTAATGAACAACTGCTAATTCAAAGTGAAAAAACTTGATGTCTTTATTAAGGAACTATTCTTAGATAGTTTTGATACTATGAATGTAGATGAATATTCAAAGTATTACATATATTCTGAATCTCTGTTTCTGAGCCAATTCTTTCTTTATTCTAACTGTAATCTTCCTTGAGTTGGTGACTTGTGTACTTCACTTACCTGGATTTAAATAAATTCACATATAACTGGTGTTAAAGTCAAACCCCATACGACTAGCCTACACAGCCTCCCATTACAGTTCTAACGCTCTGCTCAGATCTTCATTCAAATAGTATACAGCTTTTAATGAGTATAAAGAAAAAGCTTACAAACAATTTTAGTACAATGTTGAGCTTACTAAGCTAACGTTAACTGTTAAGTATAGTTTTTTTCTCATGCAAAGATCCTTATATTGCAAGAAACATATGTTAGATTGCACACATTTATACTAAGATATGTACGAGTTCTCAAGGCTCTTATTATGTCCAATTTTATTCTTCTATTTTGAGTTTTAATCTGTCCCCCCAGTGGGACAGCAGTAAGTTTATGGACTTACAATGCTAAAATCCTGGGTTCATTTCCCTGCAATGGACATAGCAGATAGCGTAATGTGGCTTTGTTCTAAAACAAAAAACAAACTTTCAATTTGCTAAGATATCAATTCTTATTATACACTTTGAAAATATAAGTTTTTTTTGTGATAACTTTATACAGTTATATTATTTCCAAACTTGTTGGGACTTGAAGATAGACCTAAAGAACAGTTTCCACCACTAAAAACTCCAACATAAAACTGTTATATCTAAAGCACACTGCCCCTCCCTGGAACATTTCCATAATCCATATAGTGTAGAAGGATGACACTTTTCCCAATACCCATTTCAAAAATCTGATCATACAGAAATCCATAGATTTTGCATTCTAGGACTTGACTGGTACATCTTTGTATGGAATAACGTGAATACCTATTCCATTCTACAGCTACTTATCTTGGTGAACCCTACACTGTAAGCCTCACTTCCAGATGAAAATCATTCTTGATTATGTGTGTACTGTTGCCTAGAGCACATGGAGAGCTTTTGCCACTGACCTTTGTGTTTATGGATTCTAGCCTGTTACAAAACACCATACTTATTTTTTTACAATGCTATTAAGTACAAGGAATATCCCATCTTGGAAATTCTAAATCCCTGATCTGAACACATATTAATGATCTGAGTGTACGAGTGTATGAATATTTTACATCAATTTTCAGTAGCATTGCACTACCTATGAAATACGAAACAAGATCAAAATATAGTTCAGATACAAGCAATTTTACAGTGACTATATATGAGCTGTGGTTGTTATGTGGCTTGCTGATTTGGATATTCAAAATCATTTTAATGTAACATACTTAACATTCTGTATTAATTCACTGATAAGACAGTTTAGTAATTATTCCTGTATGGTTCCTATGCATGGCCAAGTAGCTTAACGTTTTCTTTTCTAAGATAGTGGAACAAAACAAATGTATAAATCAGTATTCAAATTGCTCATTTGGCATTTCATAATTTTTAAAAGTTTATAGAATTTTCTGATAAGATTGAATGTCTTAGAATCTTTGTGCAAATTTACACAAGGGCTATTTGGGTATAGCCATTCCTAATTTGAATTAATTAACTAAAAAAGAAGGCAGTTAGTGAACAGCCCCTACTACCAAATCTTGGGCTACTCTTTTCTGACTGGTTATTTGGATTTGACTGCGTCTCTTAGGGTGTACCTATATTCCAAAGTGCAGAGTGCATGTTCATATCCATGACATCATCCAACATTTGTAAATTGGTTCAGGAGCATATATGAGTCACAGATTTCCACTGAACTTGGAGGATATTATTATAGAAACACGAGACACGTGCATGGCTTTAATACAAACTATGGAAGACAAGAGTATTAATACCTAATAATTTGTTTCATTAAATTGCTTTTAGTTTTACCACTGTTTGTGTTACAGCCATGTTACTAAGACAACACAAAAAATCTAGAAAGTAAATAGATAACAATACATAATATTCAGGAACTTGAATGCTTGTTCTAAGATAGAGAAAGAAGGCTTACTTTTTGAAAGAGTTGGGGTCATCATGTTTTTCAGTGCTGTGATTTGTACCATAAATATTTTCTTATTAACCATTTCTATCAAATGTTCTTCATGAAGCTTTGCACTCATAGATTAAATTGTAAAGATTATCTACTAACTTTCATCTAAAATTGAACTCAAGTAATGTTTACAATATCAATACAGTTAGACTGAATATGCAGAGAATAAGTTTGAAATAAAAGATATGTATTGTATTAGCATAGCATTTATAATGTAAACTGCATACTTAACACATATATATACTTCAAATTTAAATTATTTTCAAGAGATCTCAGATTTTTTTTTTCAAATGTTTTGTTTCTGGAGTTTGAGATTTATTTAAACCATAAACAAAATAATCTAATCAACCTCCTACTGGAAAATTTGACACAAAGTGTCAACACTGATGTCAGTACTGAATATAATTCATAACTATTCTAGAGAAAGATATCCTAATAATTGTGTAGCACCCAATAGGAAGTTGGAGTTTTTTTTTTATTTGGTTTTTTCAGTGGAAATAAGTATGAAAAGAAAATTTTCCAAGTTATTTTTTTCAACAACATTTTGTTATTTAACTAATAGAAATAGCTAATCGTTTTACTGTATTTTTGCTTCTTTGAGAAAAAAATATAAATTACCAAATTCTGTATCAAGATCAAACTATTAGAATTGATTAAAAATATATAATTATTAAAAGATTACACACAGACTATGCACACGTTAATACAGAAAGGTCAAGTCAAGTCTCATTACATTTCCAGTTTGTTTTATGGTTGGGATCAGCCAACTAACAGTTATTCATATCAACAAAATATTAACATCTTTCTTGTTTTATAGTGAAATATAAAGCTACTAGATGAACTAAAGCAAAGGGGCAAATAAATAATAACATGCTTTTATATTATTTGATTGTGCATTATGCATATATATATATATATTACATTTCTATGTTACATAATCTGGGATATATTAGTTTGTCCAAATGTTTCAAAAATTTAATGTTGTAATCAGCACAACTACATTTGTCTAAAAGTGCAGGATACTTTAAACGTTTAACATTCTTATTGAAATAAATAACAGTAAGTTAAAAAAAGCATTCAACTGAATTGTATTCACTAAATAGATTAATAAAAGCTAATTATGGTGAAAAGAGTTTCTTGAAATTTTTCTTCTGACATTCTGAAATTCATCATATTAAAGCATATTCTTTGCTATAAATTAATCTGTGTATTATAGTCAAAACATTTTATATGTTTTTGTGTTTTAGCACAAAGCCATACAATAGGCTCTCCACACCTTGTCCACCATGAGAAACTGAATCCTTTAAAGACACCAATAACCCACTGAGAAACTAATCAAAATAATTACTAATAAACAAATAATGAAATGACAGGAACATGTTTTAATGTTTAAGAAATATATGCTTACTAAAAATCAATGGCTGTCACCTTACCTCTTCCTTTACAAAACTCAAACCGAATGTCATTCAGTTCTTTCTTCCCATTTCTGCAAGAATTTGTTAAAAAATCTAGTAAATATTTAAGTAAATTAGATAACTTATCTTCTAATTCATTCCTCAATTTAACTTGCAACGTTTTTACAAATAAAATTACATAAACAATATTTTTTTTAGATGATTTAAAGTATCTTTGCACATAAATACTTTAGAAAAAATAATGAAATGTAAACAACTTCTTTAATAAAATTGAAATTAAAAATTAAACATTAATTTTATATATATATATTGATCTTGTTTTACAAATAAACTTGTAAAAACAATATATCCTGAAAAGAGAAGTGTTAAATGTTTTTACGCATTAAAAACTTCATAGGAAATACTGAAATGTAAATAACTTCTGTAATAAATGTGAAATATAAAATCTATAATAAATTGCTTACCTTAGCCTTAAAACTAAGCCAATGTTTGTGTCTGAGTTGATAGTTTTGGCAGGTTCTCCTTTCTATTAGACAAACACAATTAGAAACAAAAACCAGTAAGGGCTAATAAAGCAAACTACTATGTGTTTCATGCAACATTATATACACTTCCTAAGGCTAAAGGCTATTCAATACTCTGACCTAGCAGCTCATTATATACAAAATAAACAGTAGTCTTTCACATCTGTAAATTATTTTATTATTACTTATATATCAAAACTTTTTCTCAAGTTACCAATTTTTTACAGTCATAACTCTGTCATACAGTGTTTCATATCAATATAAATTTGTTTAAGTTCATTTAAAACATATATGAGCATATATGAACCTACAAAATTTGTGTACCTCAGATGATATGATGGCTTGTTCTTCTTGATGTATGCTACTTTGGTGGGAGATAACAGGTGTAACAACACATGTCTGTCTGTCTCCCACCTTAAAGTCCCATTCTTGTATTAGCTGAGATGTATTATTGTTATAAGATGTTTCATTAGGAGTGTTAGTTTGTTCTACAAGATCTTTTGTCTGTTGGGTAACCTCAAAATCTTCTGTTTGTTGGGAAAGTTTATTTTCTAGAATTGTTTCTGGTAATTTTGTGGTGCTTTGTTGACCCTGGTTTTGTTCAGATAACAAATGTTCTGGTTCTGAAGTTTTGATCAGAGCATCATGTGGTGTTGTTGGCTTAGCAGTTTCTTCAGATTCTCCAGCAAGAGTGTCTTGTTTCAAATTATTTTTCAGGTCTAGGGAGGAAAGTTTTGTAGAAATAGTAAATGTGTGTTGAGCCTGATTAACGAAAGTTACTTCTTCTTCTCCTGGTGGGTGATTTTTAAGTGATGATGATGCACTTGATACAGACTCCACTTCTGAAGGTGGTTTCCCTTCTGTCCATGGTGGTACAACAACAACTTTACATTCCTATGGATAAACATAAACAATATATAGCTCAACCAGCTTCTTATAAAAAAGAAAAAAATATTAAACTTAAGTTCACCAGAAGTTTGTATTTTATTAATGATTAAATATTAACTGAAATTTTGGAATGTGTATAAATGGAAAAGAAAGCCTGAAGACAAACAATTAATTTAAAAACTGTTTGTATCTATATGTTGATGATAAAGCTTGAAAATGTGTGTGTAATACACATAAAAATATTTTTACATATACATACATATATATATATATACACACAGACATACATATATATATATATATATATATATATACACACAGACATACATATATATATATATGTATATATACATTTCCAAATTGCAGATTTTCTTATTCTAAATAACATAAAATTTAAAAAACACTGACTTTCCACAGTAAATGTAAATAATAATTGAAAATCAATAAAAATATTTAAGTGCAGGCTAGACTCTATATACTACCATAACTATTAGTGAGATTACAAAATTCCTTCATTTTCTGTCTGCAAAAAACTAAAACTTAAGTAATGTAACACTAGTTAATATTTTGGTAAAATACACACACATATAGTTTGCACCAACAGATTTACTTAATATATATTTTACATAAGCCTATAAATGGAAATTATATTTAATCACTGAATTCAGCTAAATATGTGGCTGTTACCCATGCTAGTGTTGACATTTTTAAAATAAAAAATATATAAAGGATATCTTCATATCACTTTGTTAAAAATAAAATACAGCTATAAGTTAATATTTTATTAAAAACATGCATTATCTAAACTTATGGCTTGCCAATGTTAAAAGCTTAAATTGGATATCTAGTTGAAAATTTTACTCTAGCAAAGTTGATGTAATCATCTTCATCACTCGATTCTTCATCCGATGACCAAACCCAGTCTCCACTTTCCATCCTGTGCAAACGCCCAATAGCACCAGGCAATCGTCTATTTTTCTTTAACTGTAACAAACAAAATATTCATCTTGTATCACTTTCTAACTACTAACTGTTTCTAAAAGACAGTTATATTTGACACACACAATAAAAAGTTATTGTACTTAATGCTAATAAGTCAACATAAAATGGTATTTTAAATATAGGAAGAGGAATATACAGATGAAACTGTTTTTGCCCGTTTGTTGTTAATGGCAAAGGTTATCTGGGCTGTGTCCACTGCAAAGATCAAACTTAGAATTTTAGTGCTATAAGTCCTGAAGCTTACCACTGAGCCACTGAGGGTCAAATTATTCTGATCCTCCAATGAACATCTTGTTATCCAACTATTTTGAAAAAACTGACGAAAATGTACATGGCAAGGTAATTTGTATTTTACAACTGAACATTATTTATTGTTACATTTGAACATTCAGTATTTTGCAAGTTTTTCTGTAATCTAGTGAGAAATATTCTCATTTACAGTAGCAACAATTTGAGTCTTTCTAGCAAATTAATGACTTTCTATAAAACAGAGAGTACTTGATTTTAAACAGAAGGTTTATAGAGCTCCTTAGAGTTATACTTTAGTCTAGTTCCACAAAAACTAAGACAGGAAACTATAATACTTACTTGTCAATGAGTGAAGAATTTCATTTATTAATAAAATAGACAGAAATATTCATGTTACAAAATTAGAAAGACTACATTAGATAAAGGACAACATATTTTTAAAGACTTATGGCCTTAAGCATAATGATTGATTATGAAAATATTACAAAGAATTTCAATAATGAGGCATATCATAATTAAACCATGTGATTTTGTATTTCTTTTCTTGCTTCTAGTGGAAAATCACAAAATTTTATAGATATTTCTTGAACCTTCAAGTTAAATCAGTTATATGTTTGTCATAGACTTTTGCAAAACTACCATCATCTCATGGACCACTCTTGTCTGATTGAAAAGTTGGATTTGACCATCACTTTTAGAGCACAACCATAGCCCCAAATTGCAGAGCATGTTTTTGTGACAATGGGTTGTGAACCATAAAGTCTTGGATTTGTAGTCCAGGCACACAAGTCACTAGGCCAAATTTATTATATAAAAAAACTAGAAATTTTGAACGTAAATGATGCAACAGTTTTTTTATTTATAGATGTCTTTTGTGCAAGTTTAGTAAATTTAAAGCTTTAACTATATTTATACATACATATGATATCTATATAAAAATACTTAAAGAATTTTAAGGCCCTCATGATAAGTAATGGATTTTTTTATTTAAATTTTAATGCATCCTAAGGTAGTGATGGCATTAATAATATTTTCCAACTTAATTTCTGGTTATATATAAAAAAATCTTTGAAATCCAACCATTCAATGTACATTGATAAATGTTATATCATATGGTCTGCTTTTCCTACAGATTTTTATGTGATTATCAGTTATTTCTGCAGAAACAAAAGAAACAAACAGAATTATGTTAATGAAGATTCCCTGGCAATCTCTGGTAAAGTTTAGGAAACAATAATGCAAAGACAATTGAAAAACAAAGTATCTCAATAGAGTTGATAATTCTTGCACTTTAGAAGTTTTAAAGATGATAGTTTTAGGTATTTCCAGATAGTTATATAATTTTTTTTTAAATTAAAAACTTTAATTTAAAATACATGGCACCAGAGTATAATATTATCAGAGCAACTTTCAAAGCAATCAGTTAGTCACACTGGCATACAAGATGGCGAGGAAGAAAAGTAAATTTAAGCTGCATAAAAAATTTATATTTTAATATAATTATAAATGAAGAAAATAATACTGAAGAATGTATTCATAATGCTAATTACAATTCAGTATCAGTATCTCAAACACATTGAAAAATTTATTGATACTGTTTGATGAAAAAGACTTTACAAATCATGATAAATTATTGATGTGTGAGAGGGGGTCTTAAAAACAAAAAATATATATATTTAGGTTCTTGTCTATTACCTTTTCTGCTCTTTCCTCTTGACTTGGGCCACACTTTACCAAGGTTTCCACCAAGTAAGTTTTGTCCTAAACGTTTTTGGTGACAAAACTTATTAAATTACACGTTACAGACATAACAAAAGTAAACAGATGTACAGTAGTTAAAAAACTTGTTATTCCTTTACCAGTTAAATCAGCTAGTAATAATCTTTGAAAATAGATCTAGATTTCATTATGTGGATGAAAAACAGTGTTCTATTGCAAGGGGTTAAAACTGACAGAATTCTGAGTTGTATATATAGGAATATTCAGTACAAGTATAAAGAAGCCATGGTTTCGTTGTATAATTCCCTAGTTAGGACTAATTAGGAGTATTGGATGCAGTGGTACAGTTTTAGTCATTTTATCTTGGGAAGGACAAGTCATATGGGTTGAAAAAAATAATTCAGAAGTAGATTACTTTGAATATTCTGGAGATGTATAGATTGTCTTATGGGGGTAGAGTAAGATCCCATAACTTGTTATCTTTTCCAAAAAAAAATAGTCAGAAATTATCTAACTGAAGTTATCAAAATTATTAAATGAATTGATAAGACTGGTGCATCAGGTTTTTTTTTGTGTTGAAGTATGAGGACAATATGGCAAGAGATGTAAGTTTAAAATTCAAATGGTCAGACACGGCAACTTTATTTCTCCAACAGGATTGCAAATTTAAAGAGATATAAGTTGTAACTTTGAAGGGATTTAAGAAAATCGTTAATGAAAATTTGGTGGATTAGGACTGAATTTAGCTATTAGTTCCCATTTAGTGGGGCAGTTTGGGAATCACTTCATTCTCGATTGGTCAAAAAGGCTCTTGGTATCCCATAATAATAACAGCTAGATCACTTACTATCAGGCACTGAAAATAGTAGGTCTAACTTATTTTTCCAACTCTAAAAAAGAAGCAGTTCTAGACCTTATAGTTTAATAAAGTTTATGTTTACTTGAAGCATGTCATATAATAACCCATCCTTTACTACTAAAGAAAAAAACTCTTCAACATTTATGTAAAGGAAAATACTACACATTACTAAAATTCACAGAGATTTTAAAACCATTTAATATCTTAGTAGTAATAAATTAATGTTTTCACAATAACATTATTGAAAACATTCAGACTTACTGTTATACCTAACTATTCATGTAACCCACAAAAAAAAAAGAAATTATATCTGAAACACAACTTATAAACTGTTCATGGTAATGTACTAACTGTGCCGTGGGAAATTTCAGCCTAAATATGTATATATAAAGAAACATAAAAACACACTTGCAGACCAGAATATTTTGCTGTAGAAACGTTCAGAAATGACAACACATCATGCTGTAAAGATACAATTCTTCTGAAGGGATTGCATCTGAAACCATAACACCACTTGTTGGACAGTGTCATAAGTTCAAATGCTATCTGGTAACAGTTTTCACCTCTACAGAAGATTTCTAATACATTCTTTTACTGAAGTTTGAGAAACAAAATAACTAGTGACATGTACTGCTGTTAATGTATAGGTCATAGTTCTAATACAAGTTTCTTTTACTACTGATATATCAATTGTGTAAATAATTATGCAGTATGAAATAAATTCCTTTATAAGTGCATTTATAATTCCATGAGTAAACAACATACGTAGAGGAGTTAGGATTCCTGCTAGTGTAACAGTGTTAGAAAGCCACAAAATTTAATCTAGCCCCTTTTAGGAGCTACATATAACACAGAACCTCACTATACTTTTAGTAAACATTTATCATTTTTACAAACAGTATTTCGTATTGTTATATGATACCGTTTCCCATCATTTTGTGTATAAAATATTAATCTATCACAGTGCTATAAAGACCATAAGTACCCTACATCATTAATTTGTGAAATTAACTAAAGAGCATTTCTTAATAGACACTCAGTCCAGAATCACAATCTGTGGGTTAAAATATAATTATGCAATAGATATGATAGTTTTACTCAAATCATATGGAGAAAAACATATAAATTCAATACAGGGTGTCCCAAAATTTAATAGCCATTTTCACATTGAGGAAATTAACACTGCTTTTTTTGTTTCTTTGAAGATTTTTTTTAGATAATGGCATTGAGCACTGATGAACATATGAATGTTACTTTGATTGAATGTCTTCAGTGTCATATTGATTTTTAGATTAATTTTTACAGATATTCAGTCTATGGCAAATGACTTTTGGGAGACTGAAAATTTGTTATACAAAACTGCTAGGTCTTGGTTAATACAGAAAATAAGTTTTGAAACCCTAAGAAAAATTATAGAATAGACAAAATTTTGTTCTTCCTGAACAAGACCTTGGAAGATGCGTACTCACTGACATAGTGACATAATTTTCAAATTGCCTTTTTTCTTTTTTTACATGTACTCAATATTTATATTTCTATGAAAGTTAATCTGAATTTAAATATGAAATGGTAGTCAGTTGTTATATGTACTCAAAGACTTACTTTAGCTTTTTTAAAGAAAGGGTGTTTTAACAGTTCTGTAGCAGTTGGTCTGAAAAAGAAAATCAGTATTAGACCAATAGGACTACTAAGTGTTACAAAACTTAAATATTGTAGCTAAATGCCGAGTTTGACAGAAAAAGCACTTCATAAAATAATAACCAAATTTATTTTTGATAAAACAATGAAAGAAATAATAAAACATTTTCTCTGCTAATTTGGCATACTTGATACAAAACTGATTACTTTATAAGCAATCAACAGAGGATGGTTTAACAATTCACAGGAAGTGAGTCAAAACATAAAAGAGCAGTGTCTCAAGGAAGCACAAATTAGACTAAACAGCATTTCAACATCAAAATATCATAATTTAAAGAGTAAATTTCCAATTTTTCACCAAGACTGAAAAACAAATTATATCAACAATGTAAATTTAAAATATAAAAAGGACCACTTCAAATAAATAGTTTCATTTACTGTTGTTTGGTGCCTATACTTTAATTATTGCAGTTTCTTTAGAATTAACACAATTAATATTATTTCTATGTTTTTAATCTTTCCATTTGAAGGCTTCTTTATGAGTTGCAGTTCATCAGAAATAGATTTTTTGACATTTTTTCCAAATATTTTTAGCTGTAAAAAAGAATAAGTCTAGCAATATTAAAAAAAAACAAGATGATGACACTTGGGTTCTATTTATCATGTATTATTCAAACTATAGATATTTCTGTACTTTGCGACTTTCTAACGAATAATTAGTAAAAAATGTCTTATAACCTATTTCAAGGTTTTAATAAGGAAATCTTGAGTATCATGTTAACTTTTATGTTAAATGCATCCTTATAAATAAATCTATAGCATTTTAAGATAAAACTCTTAAATTCTAAGTTTAGTAAAAAACCTGGCCACTTGCGATGTGTGTTCTAAAATATTTCCCACAAAACTGCCCAATTTGATGTCCATTTTAAAGTTTAAAAACAGACTTAATTTTTTGTGAATACTCTGATATACAGTGTAGCCCCGTTATAACGCAATCATTGAAGTCCATAAAATGTCATCGCGAAACAAATGGTGTTGCGATAAATCGGGGTTTTGTAAAGATACACTTAAAATATTAAAAGTTATTAGTATGTAAACTATAATGAGGTTATGGTTACGAGGTCAGTCCCATGGACCGAGCCCATGTCAAAAGAGTTAATGACCCATCACGTTATATCCGAATTTACGTTAAATCGGGGGGGGGGGGAAATAAAATCGGGGTTTCACTGTATATCTATTTTTTCTATTGTTGGGTTTAACAAAAATTTGTTGCACAACTCTAACTTTGGTAACATTAAGACATTTATTTTAGCCATTCTCTTTTAATTATGATATATTTTAAACTGCCAAATTGCATTAGTGTTTCTCTTTCAAAATTTGTATTGTTCCTCAGTTAAGAAATTTTGAAATTTAATCTTGTTTTTAGCATATTTTCCCTTATTTCTAATTAATTATGACTGAACCAAATTTTTCAATTTTAAAGATTAGACTTATTTTAAATTTGGAACTAATTGTTTTGGCAATCTTTTTATTACCATTAAATTAAATTTATATTAACAACATAAATTAGGATTTGAAGTTATTCTTCATCTACATGTATAAAAATATGTTTTAATATCACCAGTCAAGTTGTAAATTTCAAAAGATCCAGAAACTTGATCACTTTTAATAGTTGGCTATTCTTTTTTACTCCTGAAAAGTAGTCAACTATTTGAAAAGTTTCTGGAACTTTCAACATTTACCCAATTGTTTTGGTGATCCTTTGTATTAATTCTTTTATCATTTTTTTATTATAATAATTGAAAGTCACAGCAGATTAACTAAATTGTAATTTCACATAACCCTATCTCCTACAAGTAACGTGTTTATTAGAAGGTTAAAAATTAGGAGTATGCTATTTATGTATACAAAGAACAAATAATTGGAAAAATATAGCTTTGACATGCAGTATTATGGTTCTGTGTAGTAAACCATCAGGAAGAATATGAAACAAGTTTGTGTCACTGAAGAGACAAACAGTCATATTTTTAGTTCTACACGTGCAATTAATTTTAAGAAAGAACACATGAAACTGAACAGAAAATTTCAAACCTATACGTCAAAGTCTGTAAATCAAACATTATTATTTGCCTACACTGAAAATATATTTCCAATAGATACTTACCTCCTCTCACATAAAAGCTATTCTCATTCAGTGCTGCCCTCTAGATGCAAAAACTTGAAACTCCTACCTACATAATATGTTTCACTGCATAAATCATCATGCAACAACCCTCCACCAATAGGAGCGTGACACACCCTTCTGATGCACGTTTCTCCCTCTATTTGATTTTACCTAATCATCACTTCGAGATTAGGCAGACAGTAAGCACTGGTTTTACATGAGGAGGAAGGGTGGAAAGTGTGAGAGGAGGTAAGTACCTATCGGAAATATAATTTCAGTGTAGGAAAATAATAACTTCCGCAACAGTACCTTACCTCTTCTCACATAAAAGCTAGAATCACACTTTGAAAAGGTGGAGGGATATATATAAGCATCTGCAGTACACCCATGGAGTGGTAATTCCCATTGGGAGAGGAACATGTGGGAGATTGCACCACTTCTGTACAAGGTATGCTCTTTGCCCAGTTTGGTAGTAGGTGTCACATAAACTGACACCTATTGGGAGGAGCACATCCAATGAATGAGAGAAAAACTGGGTGATTCTGATACCACATCTCATTGAAATCACTGGAATCATATTCCAGGATAAGAATGAAAGTAGGGCCCCAGCCAGAAATTGGATGGTGTGGAAAGCTAAAATGAATCTTTCCCGTGGTACAAAGTGGCTAGGAAGCAACAGCCTGTTACATGGCAGGTCAACTCCAGTTCAAAACTAGGCAGCATTGGGCATACATAATCTAACCAGTGGTAGGAGAAGGGTCCACACCATCTTCACCTCAAGTTGAGTAGAACGGAAAGAGAACATTTCCATACCAGTCTAATAAACAGGGCAGATGTGTGCAAATTCACAATCAACACCAATCATACGGAAACCTGACAACCAAACTATGGTAGGAAGGATGTGCCAATGTGGTAGTTCACTACAAATCCAAAACCAGTTGGACTGGTTCCACTCTGCACAACATCTGCCTCAGGTAGTGAACCTGAGTAACCCATGCTATATCATCCTCCAGATAGGACTGCACAGAGGCTGGAGTGCATGTATCACCAGAACACGTCCTGAGTAACCACAGTTTACAGGACGATCAGAGCCAGGACCACACAACATCAACATCTGAGACCCACTGCACAGAGATGGAGCAACTGAGTGACTAGGCAGCAAATAATATACCCCAGAACAGTGCTGATTTTTGGAATGGACAGATAAGTAGCATATTTGGACAAGCAATGCTCATGACCTAAAGGGGGACATACAACTGTAAGCAAAGTAAGAATATAGAAAAAGATAACTTACCAAGTCACAGAAGGATGGTGACAGGTGGAAGGTAGCATCCCGATGAGGAAGAAACAGCCACCTCATGAAAGTAAAGGGAGATGAACATATGAGGTGTCATCCACATGCCCAACTGAAGAGCTTCCTCCAACAGAGGTGAAAGACCAGGGAAAAGGTAAGGTGCGGTATCATATGAAACAACACCTGAAACCAATTGCAGGAAGAAAGAGATAAAAAAAAGGTTACTTGGTATTGAGAGAAGTGGCAAAAGCATCCAAATGATGAAGTATCCCAGTAATTGCAAAGCCACCAGAAAACCTGAGGGTCAAGTGACCATTCTGTGGAGGAAAGATAATCTGCCACAAGGTTGAAAGCACTCGGTAGATGATAAGCTATAGGACATATCTGCAGTGTGTGGGCCCCATAAAGTAGTTCCAATATTCGATCAAAATGGGAATGATAACAGGTACCTCCTTAGCAATTGAAATAACAGCCAAAGGTGGAATTGTTTTAATGGATTAAGATGAGTCTGTTCCATACAATAGGAAGAAAATGATCCAATGCACACTGTACCGCTGGAAGCTCCAAGATGTCGATATGGTATGACATTTCTATCTGAGGCCACTGTCTGGAAGCCTCTTGCTGATTGACCCATGCCCCCAACTATGGAGAAAAGCATCAGTGAACAGATGCATATCCATACCAGGAAGAAGAAGTGGTAACCTCCACTATAGTGTTGTCCCTGTTCAACCACCTATGGAGATCATCAAGAAGGGAAGGGAAAGAGTAACTGGGGAGTCCATGTGGTCCAAAGCAAGACTCCATTGGATGTGCAACATCCACAGAAGAGAACAGATAAGTGCATTACCCAAGGGGATAAGGGCATCCATGGAAGCTCAAGTCCCCAAAAGCAAAACAACCACACATGCAAAAAGAGAGGAAGAAGAAAGGATGTGGAAAACTGAAAACTCCATTTAACACAGACAAAGTGGAGAAGGTTGATCCTGACAGAGATAAGTGTAAGGAGCTAACAGAAGCCAGTCATCCATATAGTGGTGGAAGCATAACCCTCGAGCATACATAAGTCGGGTAAAAGCATTCACCAATCAACAAAACACATACAGTGCTGAAGCATGCCTAAAAGGTAAAGTACAAAAATGAAATACAACTCTGTTGGGACAAACCGATGAGAGGGACAGGACTGATGAAAAATGGAACTATGGAAGTAAGCATCTGAGACATCCACCTTGGTTATCCACAGATCTGGAAAAAAAACCCATGGAAGGGTGAGAAAAGATTCCATGGTAAATCAGGGAAGATCTATAAATTGGTTGTGGCAGGACAGAGTGATCATAGAACACCAGTCTCCGGTCTTCATGGGGATGACAAACAATCTGGAGTAAAAATCTGTTGAAGGCTGGCTGACAGGCTTTATAGCACGATGTTAGAGAAGAGTCTGAACAGCCTCTGATAGAAACTTGCTGGTAGCGGGATCCTGAGGTATGGGAAGGATACTGGAACTGGAGACAAGGAAGGAGGGGAGAAGAAAAAGTCTATCTGACAAACAGCTGATCACCCGCGTGTCAGGAGTGAACTCCCACCACTGTTGAACAGATCTGAAAAATGTGCCCCTACTGGGCCAAACACAATCGGATAGTCACTGGAACTGTTGTTGGTGAAGAGTATGACTGTGAGTCACACAACAGACTGATAGACCCTTTGAGTAAGGAACAGGCAAATGCTTGAAAGGTGAAGGTAGGGAAACAGGTATAGAGTAAGGGATGGTAGCAGGCTGAGATAAACGACCAACCAAGGAAGAAAGGGTTTATTGTTGCTTTACGGATTCCATACATGACTCCAAAGATTCAGGAATATCTAAAAAAAAGACACCTATGAAGAAAAAAGTCATCCACAGGTCACAAAAATATGTACTTCTTTTAAATACTCTTATTACAGTCTACCAAAGAACACTGCATAGGGAATCCATGAACAAATGATTAATGTGTGTGTGTATTTTTTATAGCAAAGTGACATCAGAGTATCTGCTATGTCCACTGAGGGGAAGCAAATCCCTACCTTTAGTGGTATAAGTCCATAGACTTACTGCTATCCCACCAGGGGACATTTTTTAAAGAAAGAGTTTGTTTTAAAGCCAAGCCACATTGGGCTATCCGCTGTCCCACCAGGGGACCCAGAAGACCAATGTTTAACAAAAAGTGATGGTTAGGTAGAATCAAATAGAGGAGGGTGTGTTGCATTCCTATTGGTGGAGGGTTGTTGCATGATGATTTACATGTGAAGACACAGTGAAACACATTGATCGTGTTCTAGGTGGGAGTTTCAAGGCCTGTGGCATGTGAAAACATTTTGCATACAGAGGGCAGCATTGAACGAGAATATATTTTATGTGAAAGGAGGTAAGGTACTGTATTGGAAATAGTACCAGTATTTGATTAAATTAACTTACTTCCTCTACAAAATAACAAACAAATAAAATACAGAAACGAAAAAAAACTAATCATATTCTGAAGTTAAAACAGCTCACCTTCTTGAAGGATCTTTTTGTAGACAGTCACTTATCAATTTCCTAATAGACTTCCCATATTGTTTGTAAAGGTCTTTGGATTTTATTCCGGTTTCAAGATTAGGTGGTTCATTTTGCAAAGTTAGCATTAATATCTAAGATGATAGAAGATAAAAGAAATTAAATATTACTTTTAAATATACAATGTTAAAAATATTGAAAATAAATATGAAAAATGAACTTACTTGGAAGTTTCAGAATATTATTTAATAATTTGTAAGGCATGCAAGTAACTTTATTTTTCTTAAATATTTTTAGTAATATATATATGGAAAAAAATTACTTTGTATTCATCAATCAATTTCACATGGGCTAAAAAGTGGCAAAGAAAACAAATTATGCAGATTCCCTCATATTTTTTGTAATTCAGCAATTAGTTCTTATACAAAAATTAAATCGATGAAAAAAGATTGTATGGTTAAATTGGAAGCTTCTGATAAAAGTAATGTACTTTTTTTAAAGTGCTTGGAGTACTTGACTTACAAAAAACAAAGAAAGTATTGATTTAAGGTATTTTAAAAAATTTAACAGGAAAGAATAATTTCAAGAACAGACTCTTTTAGCTAAAACTGACTTTGTTTCAATTACCAAATATATATTGGAATTAAATTGATAAACTTTATCGTAATATACTTTAAAAATGCCTGTTGACTATTTAATCACACGTATATTGTATATATTTAAGTTTGTTTAGTTGAATTTCAAGCAATGCTACTTGAGAAATTGCAGAGCTACTCGTGTCATATTTAGAAGTGATGGACTAGAAATAAGGCACCTAATCAACACCACTCAGTGGCGTAGCAAGAGGGGAGCAGTCGCCCCCGGGCACAGGTGTAAAAAGGCACAAAATTTCCTCTGGCCTATAATTAATAATTATGCCCTCCCCTAGGATATAGCGCAACTGCCCTACGTTAAGTAAATACGACATGGTGTTACATTATTGGTGTGTATTACAGTTGCAGTTTTAACTTTTAAACGCCACCCACTGAAATACAGTAAAACCGAATTGACGTACATAAGTAAATTACACTATTCCATCATTCATCTGTAGATCCAATACAAGTCCTAGAGTACAACGTACAAGTAAGTGTATGCTCAACTAAAAGAAAATACGAGATTGATGTAACATATTAACTGGTGTGCAAGATTTG